TTTAGTAACACTTTTTAAATATGAATACCATTACATTAAAATGTATTTTAGTCCTTTTTCTAATATTTACTATGATGAAATTTACTTACTTTCGTCCTTTTTTTTGAAAATACCACAGTGAGTTAACATTTTAATTGTGCTATTTGTCTTTATATCTCTTTCCTGCTCTATCAATACCAGCTATATCAATATACATGAAGAGTATATTTGCAGTTCAGATATGTAATCAGTTTCGTTATTATTGTGCTTTGTTGAGGTAATTCCCCGTTAGGAGAATGAGCGCATACAGGGAGACGTATTTGAGAGTAGTGTTTGAATAATACACACACAGTACACAGATACACTGTACAGTAAATGTAGGTTTTTACTTCCAGAAACGTTAAGCAAAGTCCAAAATAAGCAATCCAAAGTCATTCACAGGTAAATCAGTTTTCAATCCAGGGATAATCCAATAACGAAGTCCAGTGTCAAAAACAGTTCAGTATCAGACTTACATCAAATCCATGAATATCAGTCAATTAGGAAAAATGGAGGAACGGCAATATTCTCCAACAGAAGGAAACAGAGACTGACTGACACTCTCTTCTGAGACTAAAACAAACCAGGTTTCTGGCTCCATCTTATGGCCGTTTGAGAAACCACACCGAATTACAGTTTTGCATTTTCTTAAAGATACAGTTTTAAAATGTTTATCCTGGTTTATATATTTCTAACCCAAATACCTGTTAGATGACTTATATTCCTAACATGCTTCTTTCTACATTTCTGTTGCATCTTCTTCATCTGTGAAACCTTCTTCCAGACTTCCGCCCTGTTTGCTATGAGGAACCACAGCACTGGTGTTCAGTTGCATACTATGAACTTAATAACAGAGTTGGAGAGACTTTTCAGGCCTCTTCTCGAAGTATACTAATAGATGGCTTTACAGATCCTTCAAACAATAAGAACAGATTCTGCCTTGGATTGCTATCTAACGTTAACAGGAACTCTACTATAGAAAATACCAGAAGGCACATAGGAAAAGGTAAAAGCACATTTCTTCTGCAGCAATAAGAAACACTGCTTGGAAGCATTTGGATTCAGAAAATGGTTGAGTTCAAAACTGCATTTCTAAAATGTATGTACTGGTAGTCCTCGACTTACAACCAGAATGGAGCCCAAACTTCCTGTTGCTATGCGAGACAGTTGTTAAGTGAGTTTTACCCCATTTTATGAGTTTTCTTGCCACAATTTTAAGTGAATCACTGGAGTTGTTAAGAGTTAGTAAGACAGTTGTTAAGTGAATCTGACTTCCCTACTGATTTTGCTCATCAGAAGGTCAGAAAAGGTGATCATATAACACTGGGACACTGCAACCATCATAAATATGAGCCAGTTGCCAAGCATCTGAATTTTGATCACATGACCATGAGGATGTTACAACAGTTGTAAGTGTGAAACTGGTCATAAGTCATTTTTTTTCAATTCTGTTGTAACTTTGAACGATCACTAAACAAAGGTTGTAAATCAAAGACTACCTGTATTTGTCAGCTTTGGAAGCCATATTGAGGTTTGATGTTCTCACGCTGCCACAATTGAGCTTGAGAAAGTGGGAGGGAGGGAATTCTTTGAATATATCTAGTTAGACAAAATAAAATTCTTTTGCTGGCTCAAGGTCACGGAGTGTTGTGCATAATGAAATGGGAATCTTACTTTAGGATGGATGGTGATTGGACCATGTGATGTGATGATGGCTAAGGGGGGATGGATTTGTAATTTTGACTTTTGCAAGGAAGCCCCCGAAACTTTCAGATTCAGGATTCCACAGTTACTATCCAAATAAAGGAACCTTTTAACGCATGGATTTTAAAAAAAGAGTTACAAGTCTGGCTTTAATTTGTTGAAAATTAGATTAGATTTGGCTACCTCTTTTTTCTTAAAGGTGTTCATCTGTATTATGTTGGAGGAGAGGTATATGCAGAATGTGTGAGCGACAGCAGCATTTTTGTACAGAGCCGCAACTGTAACTATCAGCATGGTTTCCACCCAGCCACTGTCTGCAAAATTCCCAGCGGATGCAGCTTGAAGATTTTCAACAACCAACTCTTCGCTCAGTTGCTTGCCCAGTCAGTTAACCATGGCTTCGAGGTGGTATATGAGCTAACCAAGATGTGCACCATCCGGATGAGTTTTGTTAAAGTAAGAATTTTCTTTGGTTTTGATTATGAAATTTAAAAGGTTTAATACACCTCTTTGTTGCAAGAACATTTTAAAAGACAAAGCCTGGAATGAATTAATGGATGAGAGGTGTTAAATTTTGGATTTTCATGATGCTTCATCATACACAAGTAAGAAGTGAAAAATTATCAGAACTATTTGTAATTTGTGACACTGTTTTATCACTAGGTGTAGCCTCTTCAATTAGGATTCATTTCTCACAAGAGGCAATGAAAAAGGATCACTAATTTACCCATGCAAAAGTAAATTGGAAATATACTTGCATTGGGCTACTGTTCTGACCCGTTTTCAGATTTCATTTACAATTATCACCAGGTCCTTTGATTTAGATCAGGAAAATCTGACTTTTGTCTTTCCCAAGCCTTCTTCAAGAAGTTTCTTCTAGCTCCCTCATTTTATGACTATGCTTCTTTGATGACATAACCAGGGTTTGAGTTTAAGGATCTTCTAACAGACCAATGAAATATTACAAAGTTCTTGGGGTATTTTACTAAACTACACTCCCTTGATACAAAGATAAGGACAATTTTCTTTTTGGCTTACATGAATGACTCATTATTTCTTCCAGATTGTGTGCAAAATTAGAAAAGTCCCAAAACTAAAATCCATATATGTGATCCTCAGAATCTTTGGGTCATGGGATTATCAGAATTGGAGCTGTGCTAATACTATACATTCTTTCTTGGAGGTGAAGCCTGCTAAACGGAGTCCCCCCTCCCCAAATAATCAAGGTTAAAATACTGCTGATGATTTCATTGTTGTTATAAATGAAAAGCAAATGTATCCTTTGGTGTTACTTCAGCCGATAATATTTTTTGTGTATTTATTCAATTTCAGTATTTAATTCAAAAAGAGGTGCTTCATTCTTTCTAACTTTAACAGAGACAATATTAATCACACATATTTTAATTTTTCTTTATATTTGATCTGACCCTTCCACTCACCAAAAATGTTACATGTATCACTCAGTCAAAGTTGTGCACTTTTGTGGTATCTGAAGCCCTTGGTGGTTGTTTTATTTTGTTTTTTTAGGATTGGCCTGCAAATTGCAATTAGGATATCTTTTAGCAGGGGCAAATTGATTTCTGCCTACTTAGTATGAACGCTGCAAACTCTGGAAACACCATACATTTGCATTTCATGAATAAAACATTTTATATTTTGTAACCTGAAGCTACTTTTTTGTTAGTAAACAAAAAAGGAAAGGCAAGAGATCTCCCTAAGAATATATGCAATTAAACTTTGATTACATTTCTTCCAAAAGCTGGATTTGTACATAATAGGTATGTTAATGCTAGTTTCTTTGCATTTGCCGTCAGTTTCAGCAGCATAATTTTCTGATAAAGAGCTCTATATTTCTTCTAACTAACTTTATATCTGTACTGGACAAGAAAGAGTGAATGCAAAATTCTTTCCTTTGACTAAAGCAAATACAAGTCACGATTTCAGCCTCTTGAGACAGTAGTGTTCCTAAGGCAGGGTTCAAAATCAGCAAGGTGGCAGATGAAGCATGATTTTGATACATTGCTGATATCACAGATCTACAACTCTTAGTCCAGGATTTTATAAGGAGAAAATTGAGCTCAATCAGCTCACTTTTACTCTACCCTTTTCTTTCCATTTGATGGGAAGAAGGACTGGGGAAGAGTGCTTTCAAAATGTTTTTTAAAAGAGAAGCAACACTGAGTGAAATATTCATAGGTGGGTTGGGGAATTCTGGCACATTTTTAAATATTAGGTGGCAAGAGGATGTGGGAAGCTTTCATAGTGCAATTTTCTCTCCAGGGGTGTGTCCCCGACTGACTTCAATTTCATCTAAATCCAGAAAGGAGACATAATAAGAATCTTATTTCCCAAAACATTTTAGGTAAGGAAAAGTGCAAAATAATGAACATTTGGATACATGTAGAACAGTCATATTTTTCACATTAACAATAAATTAAGCTCGAATGTTACCAAAATTCTAAAGAATCATAAGATTTTTTAAAAACTCCCATATCATTTTTGTAGGAGTAGAAAACTTTAGGAAACCACAGAAACAATTAGTTTTATTCAATAGCACGTGTAGGAACCCTTCATGGATGCAGTTCCTCACATTTGTATGTTTCCTTCCTCCCTTGCTGTTACAATAATTTCTATAAAATAGCCTCATATTTTGTAACTCAGAAAATCCATGCATACTACAATTTTGCAGATGCATCATATTTGGGGAAAACATGCTTGTTATTATTTTCCTGTGATGCTACTACTGAAGACAAATGGGAAAGCTTCTGCTGGATTATAGTGAATTATTAGAATCAGAACAGAACAATTAGCAAGGCTATAAAACAATTTCAATTAGATTACATTACAGAGTTGTTTGGAATAGGATGCCATCAAATCAAGTTAATAATTTGATTTTTGATGCCAATTAATCATAATAATAGTTTTGATTAACAAAAAAAACCAAACGAGTCATATTAGTTTTGCATGGTTCCCTCACTTTTTAACCTGGAATAATAAGTTTATACTGAACTTGATTTCTGGAAGAAGTTGGCATATCTAATTGAAGTGCCACAACGGCAATTTACATCGTCTCTCATCATTCACTTTCTTTAGAGTTAAGTTTCACTTTGAACACATTATCAAAGTTTCAAACATTTTGAGAGATTACATTATATACAGTAGGTTTTATTTGCAGTAATAATATTACATCTTCAAAAAGTGCCATAAATAAATGGCAGTACTGGGTGGCTTTGTATAGAAAAGAGCTATTGCTGAAATGATTATCAAGCGTCCACCAGAGGGAGATGGAAAACCATTTAATGAACTAAAAGTTTGACAGATGTAATTCCATATTAAAGTTCGACCATAATTCATATATGCTGAAGGATGCAGTATAAATTGTGGAAATAATACTATTTCTGAGATTTGTTCCAAGTCCATATATTTTTATTAGAAGTATCCTTTATTTTCCCATTTACAAATAGAAGATAAAAGTTAAAACACTCCATCATAAATAATATCTAGACAATGTAAAATAAGGTAGTAAAATAATCTGCCTTTAAAACAGCAATAACAATCATCTCAAGTATTCATGTACCTTTTACCACATAGCCAAGGATATGTGATATTCTCTCATATGGATTTGATTTATCCACATACTGTATGAATAGTATTAAAACCCATAGTTTTTAGAAATTAGCTATCCACAATTGTATTATTTCTCATGACTTCCAAGCAACAAGGAAACTTTGAGTAAAATCCTTTTAAGTAGCAATTTATGTAATCATCGCACAAACAAACACAGTCTCTAAAAGATGTAAAAAAATTCGAACACAGGAATACGCAGCCATTCTTTATATAGAAAATGATGAATGGTTAAGATGCAGCAGAAACTTTTCTGTGGATACAGCAGTCTTGTCTTGAATAAAATGAAGAATAAAACAACCATCTCTTTGATCCTTTGCTATTTATTTGTCTCTTTTGTAGGGCTGGGGAGCAGAATACCATCGCCAGGATGTTACAAGTACTCCATGTTGGATTGAGATCCATCTTCATGGACCTTTGCAATGGCTAGATAAAGTGCTGACACAAATGGGCTCCCCACATAATCCAATATCCTCCGTTTCATAAGAATCATCTCCACACACTCTAGGGGACAAATATTGCTTCTGGCCTTGGGTTGTAGGATTCTCCCTTAAATTTCTGTATATAACTGTAAATATGAGTGTGTGTGTGTGTGTGTGTGTATGTATATATATATATATATAAACACTATTACTGTTTTTCATTCTGTATTACATGTTTTATTAGTTAATAAGATTGCAGTAAAAAGTGCAGTACTTTGTCATTGTATTCTGTCTACTAATGAAGCCATAGAAATATGACTAGCTGCCTATTTTTTCATATGGAATGAGACCAGTATTGCTTGCACTTTGTAAAAAAAAAATTATATATCAAAGTTAAATTCTGAAAATAATAATACTGATTTAAAATGCAGCAAATGGTAGCTCTGTTCAGAGTGGCAGTTTATTGATAACATCAAGCAGGTGCTTCTGGAAACTTAGAATATTGTGATTATGGTTCTTCATTTTGTTCCTGACATGTGGATTTCAACATTGTTTGTAATTACAAAGGTTACATTTTGTACAACTGAGTAACAATTATAAGCCTGCAAATGCAATTTTCTCTAAATACCATCTCTATCTTGGTTTGAAAAGAAAGCTGAAACTGAATGAGACCTCCGGCTCTGTGATGTAAAAAAAACATTATCTAATTCCAAGAATTACTAAAATGTGTTGTTCAGTGATGATGAGGCAGGGTGGGAAGAAGCAATATAAAGCTGCTATGGTTAATATTTTTTAATTCTATTCTTTGTAATGCCTAGAATGATTTCTACCCAGCTAGCAGGGCACTGTAGTCCTTCACACATGTTACAACTGCAATGGAAAGGAAGAAGCATGCAATATATTAACCCCAAGACATTAATAATTGCCTTGATAGTAAAAATGGACAGGTGACCAGTGGTAATTGCAATTTGCTTAATACAAAACATGGTTCTATCTTCAGATTCATATGTTGCCAGGCTTCACTCACTCATCAAATTCATCATTTACAGAATAAATACATTTCAGTAAAAATACTACTTCCTCCCATGTTTTAATTATTGATAAGCATAATAAATGAGAGCAATTGTTATCAACAATGAACCTAAGTGGAAGGTATTTAATATATTGTTAATATGTGCTAGCTTTTCCTTCAGTTTATATATTACTTATTTGATCAGTTAGTTTGTACATAATATTGAATGATTTAAAAATACACTGGAGTAGCCCAAAAGTATTAGTCACTGCAAAAGGGATCAAGTTTAACAACAAAACTGAAAATGCATTTGCCAGAAGAGAAAATCATCTGATAGCACTTAAGTACTTAAGCCTAAGCACAACATCTTTTTTCAATTTTGCTAATCAGAATATTAGTTTGGTTAAGTTTCTTTCCCTTGAATGTACTATTACCAAGTTAATTTTAAAAAAATATTCTTGTTTTGGGGTACCCCCTGTCCAAATTCAATCCTTTGGCAGATTGTTAACATAGAAGCAAGTGATTTATGGGGGGAAATAGGTTCATGGTATCAGATTGTACAATCCAAACACCTTAAACAATAAGAGTGGGATTTAGGTTTCCTGTATGTATGGATTTCTGCAAGATTAGGGTTAGGTCTTTTGAAGAATTAAAGGTTTGACAGGAGATAAGTTTTAGAAAATTGATACTCTAGTTACATTACTATCAGAAATTTTATTATTCAATTGCATTGTTAAAATACATTAAATATAATTGTATCAAAGGAATAGCTTCATAGCACTGCCAAAGAGGGATCCTATATTAACCTGATAGGTAAATATAATTTGTGATATCTGAACTATAATCAGTTTTATTCAAAATATGAAATCTTTCTTTCTGCTTACAGATAAATACAGATTTAGGTGCAGCTGGAAGAAAAACCTAAATTAAGACAAATTAATAAAATTTAAAAGTAAATTTTAAGCCCTAATAGAATCATGACAAGCTTTTTGAATTTGAATTTTTGAATTTCATTCTTAAATTTTACAGTGTATCTAAACAATATATACACAATCGATATTACATTAAAAAAGGGATAACTGATTTAGAAAAAAAGGGGAAATATATTTGTCATAAGCTGCCTTTGCATGACATACTGAACCACAAACTAGCCAGTCATATTTAGCCTAGTGAATAATGCAAACCTAGCCCACTTGTCCAATTTAGTTTAATAAATTATGTAAATATAAGAAATTTGGTTGGGTAAACTATGGGTAACTTTACCTCAGTGTTTTGTGTGAACACAGTCATAAAGTAATCTGTGAGTAATATATGTTAAGATATGCATTCGTAGTAGTTCCTTTATACACTTGTGAACAACACATTTATAAACCTATCAAACAGTGGTGTTTCAAATAAAAATCTCAGTGACATCTAATGCAGTGTGATATTTTCAACTAATGTGGGAAGATGTAATTTAAATCCTTATTAATATATGATTATTATTCCTATAAGCCGGCTTTGTTTTTCTGGAGTGGTAAAAAAAGGACTAATAAAACAGGAAAAAAAGTATCAGAATACAGTCTATGTAAAAAAACTGTCCTGGGAATTTGTAAACCCAGAGCAATCTCAGCCATGAAACATGGGTAAATGCAACACATACTGTACATAAAAATATTGACTGCTAAATTGTACTTGGAAAAATAATCATAAGATTACTTCTTTCAGAATTCAGCTAAGACTGCCTGCATAAAAATGATTTTTCTGTGTCCAAATGTTTTTGTACAATTAAAATTGGTAAACTTAAAGCTTTAAATGTGTTCATAAATATGCCATGCTTTGAAATAATCTTCTGGAAAATTTAAGTCATTTGGCAGAAAAACCATTTATCAGCAACTAAGTTTAGGAGAAAAACATTTCTTAAAAACTGTTATATGTGTTGAGAACGCATTCACAACCTTCTGAGGAACAATCTGGAAGTAGTGAAAAGCTGTATGATATTCAAGGCTGCTTCATAGATAACCAAATGGCCTGTTATTTATTACATGCAGGCCAACTATTATTAAGAAATCTATAGGGAAAACAATTGACACCAGTTTTTATTGATTAAAAATTGAACCTTATTAATGATCCAGAGGCTTCTTTATAAACTGTTTATTCTCAGGCTTATTAGCTGCTGATGAAGGAAGTAAACCTATTATTAATGAATGATCCAGATGGTGATATCAAAGAATCTCTCAACATGAGGGAACTATTTGGTGCATTGTGTATGGGAAAACAATCCAATATTACAGTTAAAAGAAATTGAATCTTATAAAAAGTTAGTTATAAATAAGGTAGTTGATGCTGCGATATAGTACAGGAGCAATACTGTTAAAGATTGAGATTGTACTAGTTTTATTTAAAACCAGATGAATAGATATTTTCTTCCACTTTCTTCGACTTGCCTTATTTATTGGTGTGATTTGTTTCGTTGCAGCAGAGCTACATAAATTCTCCCCCACCCCACACCCACCCAGGAACAATTGAACAGGTACATTAAAAAGCACATGGATCCTACAGATCTAAACCTTAACCCAATAACATAAGAAATTTAGCATTAACGAAATCACAGTTTCTGCTGCAGCTATAAGTAAGGTACCAGATTGTAATTCTACTTTGATTTTTTGAAAGTGGGCTTCAGAGCACTGAACGATCACTGCAATGCTATATAGGATTGTAACCTTAAAAAATCTGGGTAACATAGTTTTTCTCTGATTTATATAAGTCTAGATACTTGATAACTATCTACAAAACTATATGTAAGAGCTCTATCAATAAGTTGGCCCATTGAAAGAATGGCTGGGACTGTCTTTGTATGTCCAAAAAAATGTGTGTGTAAAAGTAGGGAAGACCAACTCTTAAAAGACATTAAAAATTTAAAACAAAGATTTCAACTTAGATTCATAAATTGAAATTTGACAAGCAGAATATGGGAAATTAATAGAGGTTTATTTGTATCATCATTACCTTTGAATGGATTGAATATTACATGTCATACTTTTCCCACAAAATTTTTAAGTACCAGCATGTGTAAGCTATCCAAGCATCTGATTATGGCAAGCAGTGGTCTGAATAATAGGTGGTTTTCCCCACACATATCCAAGGATTCATGTTATGCAAAATAACATCTAGATATGTTTTTGCCTTGAGGTTGTTGAAACGTGGTCTGGTAGAGGATATCAATCAATTGCTTTGGAGCCACAGATGTTTCTAATCCGATGGCATCATCTGTGTGGGAAGATGGGAGTCTATTCAATTGATGTGTCTGCAGCAACTGATGGGTCTAATGGGAATTGAGGAGCTTGGCATTTTTCATAGGGACCAGATGGATAGGTCAGAAAGGGAGGACTTGGATTGTATTGTCAATATGTGACTGCTTCCAGTGCAGCAATCCCAGGATGTGCTGTGGATTGCTGAGAAGATCAAGGGGATGAAGCACAAGCGAAGTTATGCCCTTACCTGGATCCTGAGGCCCTGCACACAGTCACTCACCTAGTCATCTTTTGGTTGGATTACTGCAACACGCTCTACATGGGGCCCTTGAAGAGTATTTGGAAGCTGCAGCTGGTAGGAGCTTCTAGAGCTGCATACCTTTAGGGCTGCATTGGTTACCAGTCTGCTTCTGGGTCCAATTCAAGATGTTACCATTAAAGCCCTACATGGCATGGGTCCAGGATATCTGAGGAGCCATCTCTCCCAAATGGGATAAGAACATGGGTAAATATTTGGGATGCCTTCATGAAGTTAAGGGCAATGAAACATCAATATTCCTCTATCCTTATTGCCTCTGCTGACAGTTGCCCAGCAGCTGTCTTTAGGGCAGAGGTCTCCAAATTTGGCAACTTTTAAGACTTGTGGACTTCAACTCCCAGAATTCTCCAGCCAGCATAGCTGGCTGAGGAATTCTGGAAACTGAAGTCCACAAGTCTTAATGTTGTCATATTTGGAGGCCCCTGCTTTAGAGTGTGACCTGGTGCCTTTTTGCATCTATCTCAAGTACAGTTCTTGAGTTAATGGGAGCATTTCACAAAAATCTGAGACCAACCAGCCCTTCCGTTTCCTCTGGTATATTGGCTTCCTGGAAGCTCCTTTTTTGCATGTACAGGTAATCCTAAATTTACAACTGGTCACTTAGCAATTTTTCAAAGATACATCTCTCAGAGTGCTTCTTACTAGATTCCAAAGTTTCTGCCCCCCTCCCACGGTCATATGACTCCATGTCAGGCACTTGGCAACCAGCCCATTTACAGCATCCCGTGGTCACATGATCTCCTCTTACAGTGGTTTTGCTGAAAACCAGCATTTACTCCTGGTTTTCAACAAAACTGAGTCGTAGAGAACCATTGGTATGCTCATTGACTGCAGTGGTCACTTTACAATCATGGTGTTCACTGAGAAAAGGTAAAATCATGTTGGTCAAGTAGGTTGACCCTATTTTATGACTCTTTTAATGGCTGTGATGGGCAGACTCCATTACGATCATACGTCAAGGCCTACCTATACTGGCTTGGTCTTGTTTCTTAAGTAATTTCAACTGCATTGTGACTAGGCATTCTCATATAAAGGTGGTAAGCTAGTAGTGTGAGAGCAGCTTGTCTCACTCTATAGGCTTTGTTACACCAAAATATACTCCATTATGGGTCATATCATATATAATATTTACAGAAATGGACAATGAAACAGAATGTTGAATATAAACATCAACTGAATTGTAATTATTATTTCAAACAGTATTGAAAAAAATTAACCAATAGTTGGTTAAAACATTTAATGTAGAGAGGAAATTTAAAAAAAAAACACTTTAAACATGTGTTTCTTGAAACAGTTTATTTTTTTAATCCTCCATTATTTATATAAGGCAGAGAATGTATCTAATACTCATTTCCTATTTTTCCCCACAACAGCAACACTGAGGTGAGTTGGGCTGAGAGAAAGAGTGAGTGGCCCAAAGTCACCCACTAAGGTCTTTGCTGAGAAATACTAAGTAATCAGGATATGATAATGTAGAAGACAATACCAATTATACATGATGGCTTGGATTCAGACTTATAATTACAACAGAACCATGTAATGACTGAGCCCTTAGATTGATTCATGTTATTCATTACACTGGAGTCAACCTAATTTATACAATTACAAAATCCTTAAAAAGTCGGATGTAAAAAATTAACTTAAATGACATTTTACAAAAAGTTTTTTTAAAAAAACTGCATGTTAAGAAAGAGTTCAAAAATTACAAATATACAAAATGATGCTTTAAAATAGTCTTATATAAACTATGAGTGTTCCTTAGTACAAATAAGTCATTAAAATGCAACAATAATATAAATAAATTTAAATAAATGCCTCTTAATGAATCCTGGCAGTAATATACTGAAATACACTAAATATTCAACCATGTGTACAAAATGTACATAACATTAATACAAACCTGGAACACATTATTTATAATGTAATATAAAATTATCAATTAGATTGCCTGGGAGACAAATCTAACAACAGTAATGGGACTGTGAACCAAATCTTGCTACAGTCCCCTAGTTAGTAAAATAAACTCAGATGTGGCTTCCTGAACAAGAAGTTACTGGAGTGGCTCAAAGTTCACTGTTTAAAACTTCCATAGAAAGTAACTATTGTTTTCTTCAATGAATGTCATAAAATAATAACTTTATGCAAGGTTTGCATAAAATAAAAAGCAGCTTATTGTTTATCAGTTTACCTTTCCCAAAATCATCAATATAACTTCCAAAATGAATCAATGGAAGTTTCTAATTGAAGGGAGAAGCTGCACAAAGCTCATAAAAATAACTTAAAACGTCAATTTCAAATAAAACCAAAGAAAAAAGCAAAAGGGCAGTACAGAAAACGAAGCCAACTACAACAAATTTCAGAAATTCAGTAGACCTCATTATAATAGAGTTTACTTCTGCTATGAAACTGTTGCTGTTACATTGGTGTTCCTGAAAACTGCTGTCTTTGTTCCAATGCTTGTTGACTTAGCAGTTGTTGTTGTTTTTGCAGAAATTGTACAACTTCAGGACTTCTCAGAAGTGACTAGATAGAAACAAAAATGTAAGTCCCCCTACTCTAATCCTGGAATCGCATTGAATACTGTACATGCAGAATAATCACATGGCCACATTAGACATTTTGTATTCAGTGGGACAGACCAATTAAATAAAAATATATTGCTTTCTCATTTTAAATTGTTTGCCTTTATATAGTAGAACCCGTATAGTTATAAACTTAAGGGCTCCTGGGACACACTATAATCTGTATTAGCTTTATTCTACTTTACAGTTAAAGAGTTAACTATCCCTCATCTCTTCCAAGATAGAAACAGTAATTTAACACCCACAAAATTCTGGGACGCCTTTAGAAGCATAATCTCTACTGTCACTCTAATTTCCATCTTCCTCCATTTCCATGCGGGAGGAGGAGTTAGAGAATGGCAGAAACAGATTATGAATAAATTTCCCAAGCCAGATTTTCACTGGTGCCAATCTTGTTCACACCAGTGTCCTGGTGTTTGGGGTGGGGGGTGGGGGGGGCGACAACGGCCAACTGAGAGGATTATAAAAACAAAGGGCAACAATCACAAGTCATGCATTGCTACTGCAGAAAAATGAATCATTTGATTAGAAAAGAGACGACTAAGTCATTCATGTTTTGTAAATGGTGAACAACCACCTCAGATGCTATTACCTGCCCTGTTATTTCTTTGCTTTAGAAGTTTCACTTTTTCCAATTTGAACAGAAAACTTCCAGAATATATTGGGTTATTGACTAGCAGGAGTTGAGTTCAGCAATATTTGGAAACCTGTAACTTTCAGCAGCAACAACCTGCCTAGCCAACTAGTAAGTAGCAAAGAAAGCTAAAAGATACAGTGGAACAACATCCTAAAACTCAGGGTTTCTCAAAGTTGGGCTAACAGCACATCAGAAATATGTGTCCTATTTTAAAAGTGCTTATGAAATAAATGCAGCAGAATGGTTTTACTCTATTTTACTAGTATATTCATTTCATAAAACAGCTTTTTAGAAATTAATCATAGCACTTACCAGCCTTTTCTGATTTAGCACCTGTTCCAAAAGTGTAGGTTTTGCAGGCCGATCTCCAATATTACCTGTTCTTTGCTTTGATACAGAAACGGAAGTTTCAGTGCAATCCTTAGTATATACATAAACACACAAAAAAAGGAAAAGTAAATTGTACTTGTTACATTAGAAAAACATCTACATTACTTTAGAGGTAGCCTATAAGTGAACCACTTATTATTTGACAATTTTATTTCTCTCTATAGTAAAATATATTTTGAAAATAGAGTCTAATGATAAATAAGTTTTCTCTATCAAGCAAATAATGTACTTAACACAGAATAGTAGGTACATGATGTAACTTTAGCTATAGCCTAATTTCAGACTTTTAAAATAAATATTAGAAACTAATGGTTAAATCACTAGTAAAGATAAGTATATAAGGGTTCTTCCACGGAATATATTTTTTATACTTTAATCATGTGAAATCTACAGTATTTTACTTTTATAGTCAGAAATATTTCTGAGAAATTAGAAATATTTTAAATGTAAGAATCCTACAGAATTATTTTTGTAAATAGATTCTGCTCTAGCGGAAGCTATTTAGGTAGTAACTGCACTGACCTAGACATACTCCATTAAGAAACTTGATAGAAATTTGTTTTAAAAAATTCTTATCCTGATATTCCTGGCCTATCCATTCACAAGTGGATGAAAGTTTTCCCAAGTGTTCAAAAATCAGCCAGCAGCTTCATTTAAAAATTAACCTTAGAGCAATTGGAAAGTGTAAGTTTCAGCCAGAGCTGTTTCCTTGTTCATCCAGATGAGGCCACAAAATAATAGTTGTAAGCTGCCCAGAGTAGCCCCACTGCAAAATGGGCAGCAATAAATTTAACAAATAAATACCATAGTAACATATTAGTAAAATGGTTATAAAGCAAATGAATGCCAGAAAAAGTTATTTGAGTTTTGGATATAATAATTAAAGTAGCTATGTTAGAATTAGAATTCTTTTATTGGCCAAGTGTGATTGGACACACAAGGAATTTGTCTTGGTGCAAATGCTCTCAGTGTACATAAAAGAAAAGATATATTCATCAAGAGTCAAGAATCATAAGTTACAACACTTAATAATAGTTATAGGGTACAATAAGCAATCAAATCATACTAGGAAACAGTCAATATAAATCGTAAGGTACAAGCAACAAAGTTACAGTCATATAGTCACAAGTGGGAGGAGATGGGTGAAAAGAAGTGGTGAGAAGATTAACAGTAATAGTAGTGCAGACGTAAATAATTGGACAGTGTTGAGGGAATTGTTTAGCAGAGTGATGGCTTTCGGGGAAAAACTGTTCTTCTGTCTGGTTGTTCTGGTGTGCAGTGCTCTATAGCAGGGGTCACCAACCTTTTGGACCTCAGGGACCACCAAACTCATAATTTTAAATTCCAAGGACCAGAGACGCTGGGAAATCCCAAAAAAAAGTCTGCAGGAAAATTCCCTACCCCGTTTTCCTACTGATCGATCATTTTTTATTTGGGACCACAGGATATCAGCTCCAGCTCCATTCTCGGGGGGGGGGGGGGTGAGAGAGAAACTTTTGGCTTCATGCAAGGAAAGCAGCAGAAGCAGCAGAAGTCTTTCTCTCCCTCAAACTCTGTCAGAAATGAGTCTTAGTGACACTTGTTGCACTGGCACAGCCTCTTGGAGCAGAAGGCCTTACAAGGTCCCAAAGACTTATTTCTGGTGGAGTTTGGGGGAGAGAAAGAAAGCCTTTTGCTGCTTTCCTTGCATGTAGTCAAAAGCAGAAGAAAGAAGTGCAAAGCAGGCCAGTGGCCAGGCCAGGCACATGGGGCGAGTGGGACAAGTTTTCCCCTTCTGCCCTTTTCCCCTCCTCTCACTACCTCGTTCACAATGCAAGCGATGCAAGCCGCGTGTTCCCGCAGGCCATGTGGGCGGCGCAGCCTTGTGTTCCCGCGCAGCCTGATTAGTTAGTTTACTTTACTGTCATTGCACCTCATACAACAAAATCAAACACCATCTTCAGTGCACATCATGACCATGAAAATAAACAAACACACATCTTTCACATTCCACATTAATTGCTTTGTGGGTGACATTTCTCTGCAGACTACCCAAATTTTCTCGCAGACCACTGTTGGTCCCTGGCCCACTGGTTGGCGACCACTGCTCTATACCATCGTTTTGAGGGAAGGAGCTGAAAAAGTTTCCATCCGGGATGTGAAGGGTCTGTTGTTGAAAGCTAACCCAGGCTATTGCATCAGTGGAACCAAAGCAGAATTGCATTATGTACCTAAATAGCAGCACCAACCACACAATCAACAAACCTAGTGGACTAGTTTTTGGGCTGGGATGGTAAAGAAGTACATGATATTGTAACAACAGCCTACAGGCTGCCAATTAGAAAAAGATATGTACGTAATGTAATGTTTTATGTCATGTAATTCAAAGTATAGAGGATTCCTTCCAGGAACTTCTCTAGTCTAGACCAGGGGTCTCCAATCATGGCAACTTTAAGACTTGTGGACTTCAACTCCCAGAATTCCCCAGCCAGAATGGCTGCCTGAGGAATTCTGGGAGTTGAAGTCCACAAGTCTTAAAGTTGCTAAGGTTGGAGACCCCTGGTCTACCAATGTTTCCCAACTGTGGCAACTTTAAGATAGATGGACTTCAACTCCCAGAATTCCCCAGCCAGAATGGCTGCCTGAGGA